ACTTCTCAGGCTCCAGAGCCCAACAGATCTGAGTTTAAACCCTGGCTCCTGGGCTTACTACTTACCTCTCTGACCCTCAGTGTTCTCATCAGCAAAGTGGACAAAATACCCGGCAAAACACCACCCAGTCCCAAAGGATTAAATGAGATAACAGACCAGAGCCTCTCCATCCCAGAGGCTGAGATAATGCTCGTGAGACTTGTCTTATTGTTTTGTTATTGTCGTTGTCATTATTGTCCTTGTCATTGTGTTATCTGTGAGCTTAGGTAACTTGCCTCAAGCCACACAGCAAGCCCAACCCACAAGCCACCTTTCAGACATGCTTGTCACAGGGCCTTCTGTCAATATCCCCAAAATAGACTTGGGGTCTGGGTATGTTATTCTGGTTTTCATCTTAGATGCCTCAACTTTGCTAAGTAATTGTAGTAAACAAATAAGAGTGAAAGAATGAGCGGCGGCAAAGAGGCTGAGCTATTGCTGGCAGTCTGAGATCAGACTCCTTCCAGGCAGTTGTCTCAGGGTTAATTAGTCTCCCTCCAGGTAAGGTACTCTCTGTTCTGGCACCTCCCTGCCAACCCTGCTCATTCATTCAACCCCCCGCCTCCAAGCTTCCTCTCATACCACACTGTCCAGTCAAATACCTCCTGCGGCCCTGCACGGCACCCCCTGCCCACCTCCAGCCTGTCCAGAGCCCCAGAATCCTACCACCCACCGAGCCTCCCTGCCCCACTGAGAAAGCAGGAAGCCCTCCGCATCCCTGCTCCTCCCCACCACACCCCGCTGAGCCCTGCCCTGTTGCTTCGGCCAGTATCCCAGGATCGCACTGAATGGGGATGCCCTGCCTCAGTCTCTCACTCAGGGGAGGACAGAAGGGCGGATGCCAGGTCAGGGCGCCCAGGAAGCTCTGCAGCACCCCTCCAGCACCTGTCTGCTATCACCATCTCAGCATGCTTTGAATAAAATGACTCGCAGTCACAGCGCGATCTACGTCTCCCACTGTCCTCCCCTCATCCCTGGCCTTCTCTCCTGGCTTCAACACTCCAGCTCAGCACCCTGAGCTGCACTCTTGCTGAACTCTCCCTCCTCCCCTCCTCTGCCCAGGCTTCCCCCTTTGTGCCCATCATCTCATCTTAAATAGATTTAAAAAAAAAAAAAACAGTTGCTGTCGAGCCAGCTCTACTCCTGGCAAGCCCATGTGCTCCACAGGGTTTTTGCTTTTTTGTTTTTTTTTAATAAATATACACAGCAAAGCATACACTGGTTCAACCGTTTCTACATGTACAATTTAGTGACATTGATTGTATTCTCCCAGTTGTGCAACGATTCTCACCCTCCATAGGGTTTTCAGTGGCTGATTTTTCAGAAGTAGCCTCTCCCGAGGCTCCTTGGGGTGGGCTTGAGCCTCCCAACCTTTCAGTTAGCAGCCAAGAGTGTTAACCGTTTGCACCACCCAGGGACTGCCCTCATCTTAAATAAATCTCTTACATGTCTCCTCCCCGACCACACCCTTCTGCACAGGTCCCTTGGCATTCTCCACCCAGCACCTAGTTCCTTTCCTTCAAAGCACAGATCGCAATTTGTGATTTATATGTCTCTAAGTATATGTTCTCTGTCTCTGTCTCTTTGTCTCTCGTCTCTCTCACGCATACACACACACATTAAATTTTTAATCACCAGAAAGCAGGGATCATGGCTGTCCTATTCACCCCTATATACAGCATCTGGCACATTGAAGTTATTCCATAAGTATTTATAGCTGAATAAATGAATGCGTGAATGAATGCACTTCTCTTAGCTCATCTTTCTGAGGGCAAAATCTAAGTGAGTGCCTGACTAAATTTCAGGCCAGATGATCGTGCTCCCTAAAGGCAGAAATAGGGTCCGGTCATCTGTATCTATCCCCCAGCATCTAGCATAGCCCTTGGCACATAATGGATATACAGCAAAGGTTTGAGGTGCCATAGAGACATTCACCCAATATGCCATGACCACCTAAGTCCACATCCATCGAGTCCTGCCCAGTGTTCTGTGCCATGAGGGTCCCTGGGCCCCAGCTGCAGGAAGAGAATCGCTTGACCTTAATTTAAGATAATATGCATTTCAGCTTGTCCTTAAAGCTAAGCCTGGTTCAGTCATTGACAAACTTACCCATATCCTGTTTTAACCCATTTCTATTCCATTCTGTCATTTTTTGTGAGTCTACTGGACACCAGGCAATGTGTTAGCACCTTCCACTCAAAATGTGGTCCTCAGACCAGCAGCTGCTACCATCACCTGGGAGCTTGTTAGAAATGCAGAGTCTCCAGCCTTGCCCCAAACCTACTGGATCAGAATCTGCATATTAGCCAGCTCCCAGGTGCTTCCCAGAGCTTAAGGCAGACACTGGACAAATGACAGCCACTGGTGTTGACTGTTACAAGAGACAAAGCCTCACCCAACAGATCAGAGCAGGTCTTGAAAGCCACTGTAAGCAGCAAGGGGGAGGGGGCCTAAATAAATGGGCTCTGCTCCCTCTTGAGGGTAGTAATGCACCCGATAACTTCATAATTATGATTGAATGATGCCTCCTTCTCTTATTTTAAGTCACACTTGCATCTCCAAGGAGGTTGTCTCATCCTAGATGAGCAGGTCAGTGGAGGACTTGGAGTTCAGACAGGTCTGGGCTCTGCCTCTGCCTGTCAGAGGAAGTCTCTACCTGTTGGGAGTATACACATCTGAAACCCTGTCCCCTGTCTCTCTTGCCATGGGGTCCTCTTGCTGGGAACCGGAGCACAGTGCCCCAGGTAACAGACGTGCCCTTATTTCCTTGGCTTCCAGATGCCTATCAGAGATACTCCACATTGAACTAGGGTTAAGACCACTCATGGCTCAGCTTTCACACTGCCCTCTCATATCTAAGTAAAGGCCATTTGGAATAGTGGTCAGAGTGTAGGCCTTGGAGTTAGAGACCTGGGTTCAAATCCTAGCTTAACTACTTGCTCACTGTGTAACCTTGCACAAGTATCTTAACATCTTTGTACTTCTGTTGCCTCAGTTGTGAATTCCTGCCACATAAGGTTATTGTGAGGGCTGGGCTCAAAGTGAGTACTTTATTGAATATTTATTGAATACCTACTATGTGCCAGCTCTGTACACAATCTTAGGGGATCTGACGAAGGGCAATTTTAGCCAAGAGCCCTGCCATCATGGAGCTTATTAGTCCAATGGAGAAAAAAAGTCATTAGTTGAGTAAACACACAAATAAATATTAAATGACAGGGAGTAGTGTGTGCTTTGAGGGAAAAATAAAAAGGAGGAGCTGTCAGACAGTAAAACAGGAACCTGACCTAGCCTGAAAATTCAGAGGAGACTTTTCTGAGAATGTGACAATTTGTTCAGTATCTCCTTCCTGGGTGTCACTCTGCGCCTCTCTTTCAGGTACCTGGAAGGAAACCACTTAACAGCCGTGCCCAGGGAGCTGTCCGCCCTCCGACACCTGACATTAATGTAAGGAGCCAGCGAGGGTGGGACACTTGTTCTTCTCTCCTGCAATAGCTCGGGAAACTGATAGGGAGGGCAAGGCAGGATGGTGCTGGAGGCTGACGCAGCATTGCCACACTGTCTTCCTGGGTGGAACAGGAAGAGGCAGTGGGGAGGAACTGTCCAGCCTGACATGCAGGTCTTACCCAGAGGCACCAACGTTCAGAAATAGCCAGAAGCCTGGTATCATTGACCGTGTGAATCACCTTCCTGCTTGGCTTTGGAGAAGATGGGCCAGTCTGTGAGCTTCTGGGCTCCAAACTGAATTCCTGAGCCTTCTTATTCTTTAGTGTCTTACAAGTTGTGACCGCCCTTAGGCTTACCAGAAGGAGAAATAAGTATTTCTTTTTCCTCCGTCTGTAGTTCCCTAGAAAATATTCCAAGTAGATGGTTCACATTGAGGTTCCTTCAGTCAGAAGTTGCTATTGGCTTCAAATGAGGAGCCGAGCTCCCATTTGAGGTCAGGGCCCAGGAAGCCAGGCAGTCTGGGAGGTTTGTCCAGCAGCCTCACTGCCTTGCCAAGGCGGTACTCATGAGGGTGCTGAATAATTCCTTGGGCAAATGGTGATGGAAAGATGTTCCTCTCTGTGTAGGGAGGCAGGGAGCCAGTTCGAAAAAGGGAAAATGAGAATTCTTTCAGAATGAAACAGTGTCACCTTTGGGAAAGTGGGGGACCCGCTGAGGAAAGGCAGAAGAAAGCCACCTGTCACCTCATTAGGCCTGGCTTCCTAGCTACACCTGAACCAAGCCTCTAGTTCGGAGTGTCTCCACAGCAGTACTATTCTCATTTAGGGCCAGGTAATCCTTTGTTGTGGGACCAGACCTGTGCATTGTGGGATGTTTAGCAGCACCCCTGACCTCTACCAACTAGATGCCAGTAGTCCCCACAACCCCAGGTAGTGACAACCAAAAATATCTACAGATATTGCAAAATGTCCCGGGGTGGGGCGGGCAGGTACGGCAAGCTGTCCCCAGTTGAGAACCACTGCTCTAGATCAATGAACATCAGTTGACTATAGGATCACCTGAACAGCTATTTTTTAAACATACTGATGCTCAGGCGTACCCCAGACCAATTAAATAAGAATAGCTGGGGGTAGAGCCCAGAATATTTAGAAGCTTCCAAAGTGATTCTAATGTGCAGTTAAGGTTGAAAACCACTGCCTGGATATTTATCCCTGAGCAGAAGCTAGAGGATATAGTTGGCAGAGGACTACACCCCCGCCAACCCCATTCCCTCTAAGAGGAAATCTGATAAGGTAGAATAAGTGAATGCCAGAAGAGAGGGAGGGTCAAGGGACAGAGAAAGGAAGAATTGATCAGGAAAAAAAAAGTACTAAAATAAGGAGAGATTATCTTAATGTTTTGTTTTGCTGGTAGAATGAATAGGTGAATAAACATGTAATTGAATGATTGAATAGCTAAATGAATAAACGAATGAGTGGATGAATGACTGAACAACAATTGCTTGAGTGGTTGATTGAATAAGTGCTTCAATGGAAAAATGAAATGGACAGTTGGATGAATGGGTGGGTGGGAGAGTGGATAGGTGGGTGGATGTGTGGATGGATATATAGATGGATGGATGGATGGATGGATCGATCGATCGATCGATCGATCGATCAATGGATGGGTGGATCAACGGATCAGTGAATCACTGGGTTGATGGATGGGTAGATGAATAGGTGAGTAGGTAGATTGATAACAGGTGGGTGAATTGATGAGTGGGTAGGTGGGTGCATGGATGGATGGATGGATGGACAGATGGAAGGATGGATGACAGGCATGTGTGATACTTGAGAATGACCCCTTTGGATGCCACTGACAGTAAAACCAAGAATTATGGTGAGCTTTTTGTTTTGCTTTTCCTAGTGACCTGAGCAACAACAGTATTGGCGTCCTGACCAACTACACCTTCAGTAACATGTCACACCTCTCCACTCTGTGAGTACAGCGAGATGCCATGTTGACCATAGCCACGAGCCTGGCAGTAAATGGCCTGTGGCCGTCCTTCCCCCCGATCCCTTCAGCCTTAGGTTCTGTGCTCTAGTGATCTTCAGGGCTGTCATTGTCCCAGTGTAGGGTAAACCTTAATCACTGGAAGGAAAATAAAGGAGGTCAAGACTCTACTGTCTGAGCAGTTAGAGAAGCGCTGGAACCTAATTACTCCTGAAGAAAGCCCTCATCAGAACGCCCTCTGTGATTTGTGAATTTTCTTTCCCAGTGGAGGGTTTCGCTGCATAATTATATTTTGCTCAGACCCATTTCTTTCCAATTAGCTTTGTACATTGTGAGCACTCACCATTTAACAATAAAGGGAGGTGATGGAGAAGCCAGTTAGAGAGCCAGCCAGCAGGAGAACATGGGAGAAAACTGGGAAAATGAAGCCAGTGAGCTTGCTGGGGTAGTGGAGAGATTTCTTTTCCCTTTATGGTTAGGATATTTTTTTTCAGTATATTAAAATCGAGTTGATAAGAAGCCATTTGCTGTCACGGGTCCACAGTGTGGACAGTGCACCCATGAATAGCTGAGAGTAAGAGCTGCCAACAGAGCGTTGTCTCCTTTCCCGCAGGATCCTGAGCTACAACCGGCTGAGGTGCATTCCCATCCATGCCTTCAATGGGCTGCGGTCTCTCCGAGTGCTGTAAGTAGCCCAGAGCACTGGGTTTCCATTTATACTTTATTGGGTAACAGCAGGAGGTAAACTGAGAGCTTCCCTTCCCCGCGCTCCTTGGTTCAAAGCCCACCCTCTACCCACACACACACATACGCTTCCCCACCAGCACCTGTATTTGCTCGTGGTGGTGGAGAGAACTTTTGCTTGAGAGTCAACCAGACGTGGCATCCAGCCCACTACTATTTGTGGAACCTTGAGCAAATCACTTTACCCCTCTGAGCTGTCACTTCTTAGTCTATAAAATGGGATCGATAACATCTCCCTTGTAAGGATTAGGGCATGCAGTTATATTCTGCACCCTCAGAGTGAGCACCATGTGTGTGGCATGTAGCTGCTATTTGGATGATCATTACGTTCACAGTTGGTTCCTCTGGCTTCAGGAGGGCGATGCCACACTGTAAACCTCTGCAAGGAAACAGAGCTCATGGCCCAGTCCAGCTAATACCAGACAGGCAATGTTTAGCAATCCTCAAGTTGGCTCGTACAATGTCTAAAAAAAAAAACACAAAAAACAAAGTTTTAATAAGTTGCCAACCTTTACCCATCAGGAGGTTTCTCATAAAAATTCTAATTTCCACATTCTCTTGTAAAATGGAAAGACCTGGCCATACCAGGGTCCCCTCTGCATTCCTGCCTGGCAGCCATGGGGAGCTGTTGAGATTCTTTGGACAGGGTTTCACAGTCTGCAGTGTCCACACCCACCCCACCTCCATCACCTTACCTGCCTTGCCTTGTCCTACACATGGGTGGAGGACAGCTGACTGAGGTGGATGAGCTCTGAGTAAAGGCTAGGTAGTTCTGGGGTACACCTACTTTCCAAGCTTGGCTCTGTTCCTTCCCAGCTGTGGAAGTCTTCCCATCCATAAAATCAGGTGATAATAGTAATTGCCCTCGTAAAGTCTTGCAAGGACTAAATGGAATGCTCTATGTAAAAACACTTAGCACATGCTCTGGAGCACTGGAAACGCTCAAAAAATACTCATTTGTTATTACTATTCTTAGAGTCCATAAGCAGTCAAACAGTTAACACACTCGGCTGCTAACCAAAACATTGGCAGTTCGAGCTCACCCAGAGCCATATCAGAAGAAAGTCCTGGCAATCCACTTCCAAAAAATCAACCATTGAAAACCCCATGGAGAACAGTTCTACTCTGACACACAGAAGTCGCCATGAGTTGAAATCAACTCAACGGCAATTATTTTTTATCATTATTATTATTATTACTATTCTCGCATCATAGTTTGCAAGAGCAGGAATGGAATGGCACCACACCACCACTCCCAACCCAAGGCCCGATTTGTCACCTGATTTTTATGCCTGTCCATCTTGCACCCATTTTGGTGGTAAAAGAAGATCCTTTGACTGATAGTCACACGAGAACAGAGAAGCCAGACACTCCACCCCGCAACCTGTCAACTTCTTGCCTTTCTGGCCCATTATTACTATCATAGTGATAACATAGTATTTTTATGGGACTTTCCATGGCCATTGTCTCATTTAATCTTTGCTGTGAGGCTGAGAGGATTATGCCCATTTTAAAGTTGGGAAAACTGAGGTCCAGACTGGGGAAGTCACTGGCCCAAGGTCCAGCAGTCAGGAAGTTGCAGAATCCAGCCTCCTGACCCGGAGCCTTGGGACCCTTGTCAGGACCCAGTGGCAAGAGGCAAACAGCACCCAGTGAACTGGTCCATTCTGGAGCCTCCAGGCTGATGTGATTTATTGAGGCCCACAAAATTCCGGCGTCAGCGACAACTCCCGCCGCATGTCATCTACGCTGTTATTAAAAATCAATTCTCCAGGGGCAAAAATGTGCCCGCGCAGACACTATGCAATCTGTTATTGTCACTTATGTATTATCCACCTTCTCTGGGGAGTTGTAGGATGGGAACATCAGCAAAACCATTTCCCTGTTTCCGGTTGAAGACAACAGGAGATGGACACATCTCACTCGCTGGGGCTCGTCCTGTCCTCCTTCAGTCCCAATCCATTGTCTACCATCCTAGTCTCCCAGTGCTGTGCATGGGTTTGCTGCCAAGGAGGTTAAAAAAAAAAAACAGTTGCCATCGAGTCAGTTCCAACTCCTGGAACCATGTGTGTCAGAGTAAAACTGTGCTCCATAGGGTTTTCGGTGGCTGATTTTTCAAAAGCAGATTTCTAGGCCTTTCTTTCAGGAAACCTCTGGGTGGGCTCACATCGCCAGCCTTTTGGTTGATAGCTCAGCACTTAACCATGTGCACCACCCAGGAACTCTGCCGGGGGTAGGACCTGCCAATCTTCATGGGACCTCTGTGCATATGCTCACAATGAGAGTAGTTTTGGTTGGAGCAACTCAACATGTGACGGGGAGAGACAGAGAACGTCTACCTATCCATCTCTCTGTCTGTCGGGGGTGTCTTAGTCATCTAGTGCTGCTGCAACAGAAATACCACAAGTGATGGCTTTAACAAAGAGAAGTTTATTCTCTCACAATCCAGTAGGCTACAAGTCCAAATTCAGGGTGTCAGCTCCAGGGGAACGCTTTCTCTGTGGGCTCTGGAGGAAGGTCCGTGTGATCAATCTTCCCTTGGTCTGGGAGCTTCTCTGCGCAGGAACTTCAGGTCCAACGGACACGCTCTGCTCCCGGCACTGCTTTCTTGGTGTGATGAGGTTCCCATGTCACTCTGCTCACTTCTGTCTTTTATATCTCAAAAGAGATTGGCTTAAGACACTACCTAATCTTGCAGACCTCATCAGTATAACTGCCGCTAATCCATCTTATTACATCATAGTGATAGAGTTTACAACACATAGGGAATTCACATCAGATGATAAAATGGTAGACAATCATACAATACTGGGAATCATGACCTAGCCGAATTGATACACACATTTTTGGGGGGACATAATTCAATCCATGACAAGGGGGATGGGATGAATATCCCCAGCCTGTCTGGGGTTTTCTCCTTCCTCAACACCTTGTTTGTTCTACTGCAGCCCTACTATTATGATTAGTTCATCAGGAGTACTTGTGAATATACAATACTTGCTATACTTGCTTGAATTAAGAATTAGTAGGCTTTTAGCACCATCGTTTTAGAATCATCAGATCTCATGGATTAAAAAAGCGGATCTTAGAGCCCCTCAATCCAACCATCTACCTCAGTGGGGAGCAACCATTTTCTGCACAAGGGCCAATTCAGGAAAAATAAAAATGTTTATGGGCTATATTTCTTTTATGATATTTGTATTCTTTCTCCCAGTAATTGTGCATCTAAGAATTTATGTTCAAGAATAATCCAAAATGAGGGAAAGGTTTTGCGCATTAAGATCTTCGTTGCACTTATATTTTTATCCTAAATTTTAAATACAGCCTCCAAGTGCCACAGTGGGGGATGTTTAAGGAAACACGATACAACCAGCGGGCAAAGTGCAATTATTACAAGAGATAAAGATGAAAACTAGATAACAGTGTGGAAGAGTGTTTACCATTTAGCATCAAGTGGAAGAATAAATGTGTATATATGTTACAATTATAACTTGTAAACATTTATGCATACCTAAGAAGGACTAGAGCCCTGGTGGGTAGTGGTTAAGCATTTGGCTGCTAACCAAAAGGTCAGTGGTTTGAATTCCACAAGCCCCTCCTTGGAAACCCTGTGGGGCAGTTCTACTCTGTCCTATAAGGTCACTATGAGTCTGAAGCAATTCAATGGCAACTGGTTAAGAAGGACTATAGGAAACATTGAAAATGAAAAAATCGTTGATAGCTGTTAATATAAAGTTATTTTTGTAATAAATGAAGGTAAAGCTAAAGATGAACTAGGATAGTAACATATTATTTACAATTTAGGGGGGTGGGAAAAATGTTTTTTGAAATCAGGAATTGTAGTATCTGCAACAGCAGGTTGTCATTTGTATATTCTTTCCTCATTTCTAAAGGGGTTCATTAGGAGTCTCTGGGTAGTGCAAATGGTTAGGTGCCCCCCTACTAACCAAATAGTTGGCAGTTTGAACCCACACAGAGACACCTCAGAAGAAAGGCCTGGTGATCACAGCCTTGAAAACCCTCTGGAGTACAGTTCTACTCTGAACTGTGGCTTAGTTTTTTTAAAAGGGTTTCATCGTGTTTATTAAAATTTCAGAAATGACCAGAGATCCAGGAATGCAGGGAGTTTGGGGAGGGGAGAGGAATTAGCATCAAAGATCAGCCATAGACAAAGGCTAAAAAGTGGTCTGGAACACAGAAAAAGAGCTGACATTTAAGTGTGCATGTGTGTGTGTGTATGTGTGTGTGTGTCCACGTGTGGATATGAATACATTTCAGAGAACACACAGGTGGGTAGTCAGGGAGCACTAAGTACAAAACACTGTGTGAAAATGTTCTTTCTACTTCACTCCTAATCGAAAAATAGCTGGAAGAGAACCATCTTGTGGGCAGTCTAGTCCTTGTGTGGGGATCTGTGTGTTGCTTGATCTTTGCCCCACACTGACTCCCATGCCTGTGTGCATGTGGGTCCCAAATGTCACTCTCCAGCAGCCATCTCTGTCCTCTACTCAGCGGTGAGGTGGCCAGAGCCTCCGCAGCCCAGCCACAGGGGGGCCACCTGGAGTCAGTTAGCTCTGGGGGGTTCTTTCAATGTGTGCTCATGAGTGAGCAAGTGGGAGTATCATTCATTATCCTAGTATTTTTTTTTTTTTTATCCTAGTCTCTAAAGTAAGATTGGATCCCTAGTGGCACAGTGGTTAAGGACTCGGATGCTAACCAAAAGGTTGGCAGCTCAAATCCACCAGCTACTTCTTGGAAACCCCATGGGGCAGTTCTACTCTGTCCTATGGGTCGCTATGAGTTAGAATCAACTCAACGGCAACGGGTTAAGTAAGATTGTCCTGTTTACACATATATGGCTCTTCATTACAGTTCTACCGACTGTATGAATTCTCCCTGTAACATCCTTGAAAGGGGCTCTCTTTGGCCTTTGCTTGATTA